GTCTGACAGACAGCACGTCGATGGCATGCCTAGAAGCTAAGTACGAAAAATCAGAAATACACTAGCCACGAGAGATGTTAGTATGACGATTATACTATACTGTTTGCAGTGGAAAATAGATCTAGTTCCGTTGCATTTCTATGCTCGAACATGATGCAAAACGGCTGTGATCAATTGTAGGTCGATGGTCCATTTACCACATACTATTTCGAAAGGCCTGCACAGAAACTTCAGATGAAGAAAGTACTATGTTCGAACTGGGCAACTTTCCTGTCAATGCTTCGAAGCATCTCACCGAACAGAACCTGAAGAGGAAGCGCGGAATTTCTCTCCAGGTTCTTCTCGGTCAGACACTTCCGAATTCTGATGTGCACGAGGAGAGAGGTTGAATGTTACGATTCGCAAAAGAATCATCGACACAAGATCCGCAATCATGCATTTCCATGGAGAGTTGGATTTCTCCATGTCCTTCTGGCACCAGATTAGCAATCAACCCACGAGGCGCTTGCGCTTCCAATTTATAATGAAACATCATTGGAACTAAAACGTAACCCTAATCATAAACCTTCCTTTCGTAGAGACGCATTTTAAAAACTTGAGACTGATTTGGCAAAGTGACGTTCTCTAACATAAAATCGACAGATCGAACCAATCTTGAGGATGAAGATTCCGCTTCGAGTCGTCTCAGGTCGGGTCTCTAATATAGACTTCACGCCTATAAATTAATTGATATAAAATTCTGATATATTACGAAGGGCAGGTGAAAAAACCCACTATAGAGTATGCATTACTCTCCTAAAACCTGGTCGGTATATTGCTTGACTTATAACAATTCGAACTTATTAGGAACATAAATGAACCGGTCATTGCATGGTAGGCCAGATGGCACTTTGCGGGGCCCTGCCAGAAATAATTTTATCCATACAATTCGCCGAACATGCTCCTCGTCAAGATATATAACAAGTATATTTTATCTGATGAAAATTGAAACTCGTCCTTGAAACAAGAACCTGCACTTCAACATCCGTAGTTTTTAACTGGGTTGTTAGAGTCTTGCTTCCATTTCATAACCGGCTTGCAATGGGTATGTAAATGGTAAAACCGGGCCACTATGTTCACTAAGCTCAAGTCAATGTACAATACGTTACGTAAATGCTTTTCACTCTCTACTTTACCAGGTGGTGGTAGGATTCATATAGCAAGAGGAATTTTCAGACTCACTCTGAGCGAAAACAAACAGCGAGATCCACTACTCGCCGCGATGTTTGTTAGCTAGTACAGATTTATCAAACTAAATTTTTATATTTCCAAATAGTTAAGCAAGAAGCCAAAAATACTCACTTTGTCAAAAGTACAAAGTGGAAAAACCTACGCCCGCCGCCCGGGGGGCTCGAACCCCCGACCACAAGGTTAAGAGCCTTGCGCTCTACCAACTGAGCTAGGGCGGCTTCTTGGAACTGATTTCCAATTAACCATTTTAATTTAGTAATATATGCAGGTACATATAGATATATATATTACCTGCATATATATTATAACCATATTTACACAACGTAAGTAGCCTGAATTTTCGTTAGATATTGATATAATCACGTGTCATAAAGTGGGTATATTTTCAAAAGATGATATTTATGAGATTCGACGTTAATAGTAGCATACTTGCTTTTAAAATTTCTGTTTCGCATGGTTTGATGTATTCCTTTCAGTTGACAGTCGGTGAGTGTCAAATATGGGAAAGTGTGATTTACTTATACCGAAGACAAATTAAAATAATATCAGCATTGAATCTTATGAAGTGCTCTAGCCGATTACATGGCTCAGCCAATTGCACTCCCTTCGTTGAGGAACTGTCTCACCCCACATGCTCACCGGAACAAACATTACACCTTCATAACCAGATGTGTCCTTAAACATCTTGTAAGGAATCCCGGACGTTGCGCTGTGAAAACAAGTTCCGCGGGCAGCGGAACTTTTGAGAAGCCAATGGTTTTCCGTGGAGGCATGCCAGCTATTATTTGTTCCGATCTAGCGGAATAACAAAGGTTACCGTTGCTAGCTTAGCTCAAATCGCGGTCATCGCTTATCCTCAAGTGTTCCATCAGCAAGTCAGTGACTGAGTGATATAGATGGAACGAGGGACAGTGAAAGTCTGGAGGAAGCTTCCACAAGGCAGTACAGACCTGTTGCTCCAGGAGATGGAGGGCGGACTGAGTTCCATTTACATATTCTCTTTTTACCGCGACTCATAATCTGGGTCATTGAAAGTTTCAGATTGCATTAGTCGAACTTGATAGTCCATAAGTGTATAAGTTGCCTTCATGCAGTTCAAGGTTAAATATATGGGGATTCGGATTAGATGAAAGCTCAGGATTCTCACGAGCAAGACTAGAAAGGTTCTGAAATTAGAGGCAAGACGAGTGAACCAAGAAGACTTTGAAGACATCGTTATCAATCATGTACTTCCTATCTTTTCTTCCAGTGGACTCTGATGCCAGGAGAATGACCTACTCCATCGGGGTTGAATTTTTTAAAACATATTTATCGATTCTGTTCATACACAGTGGTCTTTGCATATTTCATTTCCTTATGCAAATCAGTTTCGCTTCTGTGACCATGAAAAGGTGATAGCGTTATTGGTTCGTCTCGATCAATACCATACGACGACTGCGTTGCGTAAGCACTATCATATCGTTACATACACCAGAATCAAGAAATCATTTTTCTTTGTGCATGCCAGAACGTAAAGCAAAGAATGCCGTCAATTTATATCAGTTACAGACATTTAATTTTCAGCCGAACTTAAATTTCATCGTAATTGAAAAATGACTCATTGCATTCTCAATCTTGGTTCAAGGTTATAACTGAGCATGCGATTGTTTGAATGTGGTGTAAAATCAAATTTTTGTGCCGTAGTGTCAAACACATTGTACCCAAATTTTATGAGGTCTACCTCTGGTCCAGAATTGCATGCAGATTTTGTTTGTAACACTTCACTTCCTGAAATGGAACCCACGTACGGCTTCATGCTCGTTTGATTCGCTCGAAACAAATGTTTTTTGTACTTGCTTTAAATTGCTGATTGCCGAATTCTTGCGCCAATCATGTTGCATGTAAAGCCTACCGAATCAGAAACCCAACAACAAGGCTAGCCTGTAACTGTTTCCGACTGGGGCACTCGCATGGCTGTTTGCAAATCTTCATACGCAACCCGCAGGAACTGAATATCGTTGTCAAGTACATGATTTTGTGAAATCCTTCGGTCAAGAAGGACTGCCGAGAGATTTCGATTTGTCAAGTAGCGTAGGAGACAGGATCAGGGAGGAGTTCCAATCAGTCCGGCAAGGTACTGTCTTCCGGATGGAGGAGAGGTTCCTACGGGACGGAGGGAGCCGAAAGCCGGTTTAGACCACTGGAAGGGGTCCGGCCGAGATTGAAACATCTTTCATGGAGATTAACTGATATACATTTCCTTTACAATTTGTAAAATACCTCTGCAACTTGGTTCCTACCAGACAGAAGTGGAAGCAATTTCTAGATTTTATTTCACTATGTCCACCTTGAATATATGAAGTTTGCTTGCACTGCATCTTAGCCCTTCTCTTCCTTTGACTTGTAGAGAACTGAAGAAATTTATAATACATCTCAAAGAATTGAGGTTCTGTAATATTCATGAGTTTTGTCAGGCAACGGAAAATTCAGTTGCCTAAATATATTTCAGGGATTTTAAATATGGGGATAAAAAAAGCGTGTGGCACCTGCTATCTTCCAAATTGTTTTCATCTCTAGTGAGAATTCTTTGATTCCCATTAGCGATTGTGATGGATATAATTGAAACAATTTCAAATGAGTACAAGCTAATACAGCGAACTTCTTGAAATTATTAATCTTTAAGTTACCACTCTTTTGTTCACGAGGCTGCCCATTACAGTACATGCACTTAGACGTATAGGATTTTCGGGCCTAGAAAGTTCCTTCTGTTCCAAATACATGTGAACTTTTCAACTCGCTGTAACAATTACCTAGTGCTGACCATGTGAACGATGTACGTTAAGAGTGCTCTCCAGCTTCAGGATAGGGATCATGAAACAGTTGAAGATTCATAAGCTTTCAAAATTGAAAGCATTTGTCTCGATTCTAATAGAGTTACCAAAAAAATCAGGAAACAAGTCAAACCTACTTTGTTGGCGTCTTCTTCACACGGATTGCTTCTCATAGAAAATTTTAGAGTGGCAAAGTTTCACCTGTAATCGTATATTCTAAGAATAATTTAGTTATTGAAAAAAAATTTCGTTGTGATTCACTAGAACTCCGTAGAATCCAAACATATATGTTCATATAAATCGCATACTATGAAAAACCTTAGCTCAATAAGTATCATGTGATTTTTAATATATACCAGGTTTCTCTCTGACTAGATAAGTTTTCTTAAAAAGAGCTTACGAACAAAAATCCCGACAATAAGATCACAAATTATCCCCTTTCCCAACAAAGATGTGAAGCTCTGCGTTTGAATTTGTACCCTTTGAGATTCAAAACTCACATATTAAAATTATATTATGGAAAAAATTTACACATCTGTACAACTCCCATTTAAGTAGATCTTACTGTGATGATATTTAGATCTTCCAACTTATTATTGGCAAATATTTTAGTTGTTTGAACAGAGTGATTAAAACTATCATTAATTACAAAAATACGGCCATACGTATTGAATCAGTGAAACTGCAAAGCCATTGGCTGGAGCCAGCCAACGGGTGAATTCAGCTGCCAAAAGCGTCTCGGGGATTTCAAAATTACCAACTTCAATAACTGGGATTGTGCGTCCTACCGTTGATAGGCTCAAAAATCAGACGACTGGATATCATAGAATTCAACTGCATAAATACATCGACGCCTGACGAAGCATCAAGAAGGGAATGTACGGACCGTATATATATATATATATATACCCATGATGTAGAGGGTGCATGAATTGTACGCACCCGTTACTATCCCACAAGAACTGTTCCCTCGAGTCGCGCTTTTTATTTTTTTTAACTGAAGAAATATTTGACGACAAAAGCGACTGATCTGACGACGAACGGGAGGGTGATACATTTGATCTCGCGTCGGCCGGAAACGATCTCTGACTGATGAACCGTATACGCGTGCAAGGCACTGATTGATCCAGCGCATCGACCGTGTCGTTATGTCAAAAACAGCGTCCTCGGGTGTCGGTGCTTTGAAACTTTCTTTCAGATGAGTGGAGCGTCTTTTTCCTATTCTTGCTTCTTGGTTCCAGTTCGATGCCTTGTTTCAGTATTGCCAAGCCCATTTATTGAGTTTGGTTCGACAGCAAGGTTGTTGTCATTTGGCCACTTCTTCCCTTTAAATTCTGTTTTGCAGAACCACCGAGGAGAAATACTGAAGGCTTCTCGTCTTATGTGCCTGCAACATTTCTCCTCTTCTTGTACGTGAATCTTGGTGCTTGGATTTGGATCACTGGGTTCAAGTCTCGCTGAGGTTCATATCACTTTCTCTCGTTAGGGTTTCGTTGCGTGCTATCGACATCGAGTTTGATGGTGTTTCAGAAACAATGTTTTTGAGTAGATATCAAGGAATCGACGTTACTGTCCGTTGCCGATGCCGGACATGATAGAATTGCCGCCCATGGTCGTCTAAAATCCACTCGACCTAGAAGTCCCGTCGAATTTGTGCGTCTGCTGACACTGAACTTATATTTTGTATTTGCAAATGGACATAAATACGTGAGCACGTTTGTGTTGATCATGCTTCTCATTCATGATTGATTCCCATCTGTAGACGAGGCAGTATTGAGGATGTTTTTTATTTACTTTGTCGTGTAGCACTCATGAACTGATTAGTGAAGTACCGTAAGCATGAACATGGTCTGATGCCAGCAGACCATCTCTCCTTTCAAGACAGCTTCCTAGACAGACAATTGGGCTCACAGTGTATTTTATGCTTTCTGCGAGACGTCGTGGACCTGATGCGATGACTGATCATGAACCCTGGCCACACCCATGTATAACGGGGCGTGCGCAAACTGTGTCGATGGTCAAAACAAAGTTATCAAATTTGGAGATACACCTTGCAGCATCGTCACACTTACTAAATAGCAATTTTATGCTGTTTAGTAAAATTGCTATTTAGTAATTTTATGCTGTTATGGATGACTGGTTGCGCTGTGCGACATCATGTAATCATCACGAGTTTTCTGATTGATACAGACAGTTTAATTTGTTATGTAAAATTCAACACAAACGTCCTGATTAAACTTGCTTTGTGTATTGTAGGGTAATGGTGCTGCAGTTGAACATCTTCATTATCTTGAACACATCTTCTACGAGAGTCTAAACCCTAAAATTCCTTATTTCCTCGTATCAAGCAGCACGGCGTAAATTGTCATCTGTCTAACTCAGTAAAGATCGAGTAACATTAAGACGTCGACGGGTGGCATTCAGCGTTCTACGTGGTGCTCCTGTCACCGCATTTCCATACGATGGCACGAGAAAGCATGAAGGCACTGGAAGAGACGGGGTGTCAGCCACCTGAAGGACCCATACTTTGTGCGAAGAATTGTGGTTTCTATGGCACCGCAGACGCCATGAATCTTTGCTCCAAGTGCTACCAAATGCTGGCAGCCCCAGCGGCATCCAACGCAACTCCTGCTTCTGATACCGATATGCTTAGGTCTGAGAGTGAATCGACAACTCAGTTTACCAGACAGAATAATGAGCACAGTGGGTGTGCCACAGAGGCACCACCGGTAGGTGAGACATCGAATGCGACCACGAGTGGAGGGTCGTCATCGACAGCGACGGCAGTTGTGGCAGACGACCCTACGAAACGAAGCTCTCATGGACCGAAACGCTGCTTTTCTTGCCGGAAGCGAGTGGGATTGACAGGCTTCGACTGCAAGTGTGGTAACTTGTACTGCTCACTCCATCGCTACTCCGACAAGCACAATTGCACTTTCGATTACAAGACTGCTGGACGTGACGCGATTGCGCAGGCAAATCCTGTGGTAAAAGCCGATAAGATAGAGAAAGTTTGAAAGCAATTTACGTTATTGCAGGAAGGGCATTCCAATGTCAGTCTTATTTCGGTTGGATGAACCCTAAACCTGACCATCAGCTTATTCAAAATAAACATGTGTTCGAGAAAGCACGCACACTCTTCATGATGCTGCTTGTACATGATCAAAAACCTAGAGAGAGTCACAACACATTGTGCATCCGTACCGCATCGACCACAAACAGCGAGAGGGTCGATACATGCAGGGCTTCCTCGTTGTGCAGCAAGGTCTGGATTTGAGATGTAGCTGTCGCAAGGTACATCTCTAGGAATCCTGGATTTTATGTTCCTTTCCGCAAATCTAGAATAAAGACAAGTTGCTCTTGCCAAAGTGATTAATTCCATATTCTTCTCTCTTCAGAAATAATCCGTCCCCGCTTCGTTAGGATTAAATAAGATCGAAGCAAAACTATGTTCACCAGCTTCTCAAAATTTAGAGTTGGCACGGAGTCAGAATTGGAACCGTGAAACATTTCCAAGAAGTTTGGAATCTTCAGGGTTGCTTGAATCCTTCGACATTCAATTTGAGATACATTCTATATTTTACATCTAAGAAATGAGAACTTACTAAAACTTCCGCTTTATAAATCCATTAACAGCAGATACAACAGAAAAATTGATCACTTCCAAAATAAATTTCTTTTCTTCGCGTTGGAAACAAATATATTATTTTATTGAAAGGATTTGTCATCCCTTTTATGGTAATATGATACCCTCAAACCGTATTTATTTATAATAGCATAAAATTCCAAATTCTACGTTCAACATTTACAAGCTGTGAAAATACCAATGAATTATTTGGTGTACTGCCCTCGAAAGAATATATTGTGAGTGTTATTTTTGTACGCTGTCCGATGTACTGATGTAATAATTTTTTTCATGATATCATCAAACACTAAAAATGGTCATGTTCATTCCTTACTGTAGCAAGGAGCAAATGTAAGTTAGATTGTCTATAAATTCAGTTGTACACTTTTCAGCAATATCTCAACAAAATAATAAATTCATTCGATTTTTGAAATTTCTATGCTTAACACAAAATAATCGATATCTTGGATGAAGAGACACGTAAATTAACATAAATTAAAAAAATTCTTTTCTAATTATTTCTATTTCAGAATTGAAATTTCAGATGCTAGAAAAAAAATAAACTACTTCTATTTTCTAGTTTCGTTCAAAACAATTCATACTTCATGATAAAATTATACGTTTTTTCTTTATCAGTTCAAACTATCAATATTTCGTTGAAATATCCATAAAATGCATACCTGTAATTGACTCATGGCTATGGGTTCGAAATATATATTACCAGAAAATTTTCAACATCGCTCATACTTTGTAAAATTTTCAAATAATATTCATATAATTTTTCTCTAAGTTAGATTTTATAAGACAAATATATGCCACATTTTTATATCACATATATATGCCTCATAAAATAAGAATTATCGTCGAACTCATAATTTACAGAAATTTAGATTTTTATATTCCTTAATAAAGATAACGTAATCAACCTTAATTTTATCAATTAATTATCACTACAATTTTTTTCACGCTTTGCTAATGAAATCAATATTCAAGTTTTGTTGCAATACAATTTGTTCATAATTTTACGTTAATTTTTTTCAAATAAAATGTATGCACATATAATTAAAATGCAAGGGTGTCATATTGAAATAAATCAATATGTATTGATTTACGTATGCTCTCTGATATTGAAAAGGCTAAAAATATTCAGATACGAAATTCTTTGTCGTTATTATAATATGAAATTTATTTCTATAATAAAAAATATTAATAAAATAAATAAATATATCACTTGAAAATAAACGAGCAACAACTTTCAACTTTCATATATATTGTTCAAGACGAGAAAGTAAAAAAATATTTTAAATCAAATGTGCAGCCACTATTTCTATTATCTTTCTTAATTAAAGTCGTGATAATTTTAAAAATATGTATTTAAAAATTCTAGGTTTACTATCAAGATGTTCTTTGACACTAAATAATAAAATATTATATAATTATGGTAAATATAAATTATATTAAAAAATTTATTAAATTTTTTATTAAATTTATGTTAAAAATTACATCAATATGAACACTAATTGTAAACTATTATCATGTAATATTTCTCTATTTATTGTGAATATTTTTAACTATAAATGTGGCAAAAATATATTCTCCAAGCTTATATCATCACTCTCTTTGGTTAAATTTTATTTATATTCATGTATATCTTATGTTTGATAAGTGAGACAAAATCCAAAAACAGTTTCATGATTTCATTTCTTGATTCAAAATTTAATACGATGATAAACATATTGCATCATAAAATTCTAAAGCATTGATGGAATTTATTGATTTCTATGATGATCGACATTGGCTATAATATTTCTCGTAATGTAAATAATTTGTATAATATTTCAATCTTTGATACCTGGATTTCTAATGGCAAAGATTTGTAACTTGCTAAATGATTAAAAAAATGTAAGTTCTTTTTATTTTTATTTCAAAAATAAAAATAAAACTTACTTTTATGTTTTTTAATTTTTTAATGGATAGTGACTAATAAAAGTTTTAGCCTAATCATCGTGACATGATTAAAAGTCTTTGTTGCAATAGTAAGTCTATAAAGTAAGGAATAATATTGAATTAACACAATAAACATTTGGATCACACTCAAATTATTATAAATTTTATTCTCATCATATAGCTGGTACCAGAGATACTATAACTACTAGACATTCACATATAATATCCACCACCTTATCCAAAGTTTATGTTTAGAATTCATTTTTTAAAATTAAATCATTTATTTTTCTTTGCCCAACAAAATCTGTTCTTAGTATACTATTCATTTTAGCTAGAAGACAAGAGCATTGAACTTAGATTTGAGATTTTAAACTCAACATTTCCAAACTCAAGATCATCAGCAAGTTTGAAATTATTCAAATTTTTTATGAAATTTTTTTCTGAATTTTTTTTACATATGTAAATTTGAGTAAATTTTAAATCATTATATAAATATATATCACAATAAATTTCTAAAATTCTTTAAATTTTTAAAAATACTTTTCTTGGAATGGGTTCTATGATCATAATAATTATTCCAAGATTTTAATTTTTGTTTGCTATACATATGCTATTTTCAAAAATAAATCATAAAATAAAATTTTTAATCTCAAATCATCATATTTTCATGATGCATGTTTGCATGATCCAAAATTAAAACTTAATTATAGGTAATGTTTTGAAAAAAAATTAAAAGTTGATGTGAGTAAAAAACTTAATGTTTAATAGATTTTTTAAAAAAAATGTTAGATAAATTATTATTTTAAATTTTTAGACCTAATACTTAATAAAAATATTTAGAAGTTAATTTGAGTAAAAGTTTGAGTAAAATATTTAAAAAAATTTGAGTAATTTTAAAATAAATCTAACAAATTCTAAAATATAAAAATTCCAAAATATTTTTTCCTTGCAAGAAATGTAAAAATTTTATTTTTAGAATCAAATTCAATCAAAAAAATATTGAATTTGACTTTGCAATACTCACAAATACTTTGATTGAATTTAATTTTAAAAATAATAATTTTTGGATTCAAAGTTTTCCAATACTCACAATCATTAAAAGTTGTGACTATCGCAAAGTCAAATTTAAGAAAATATTCCTCATATGCATTTTTGTTTTTTGAAAATTATAACTTCTTCAAAAATATAATATATTGGGTATTAATATATTTTCAACATTAAAGTTTCACTCTTTATATTTATTACTATAATCTTATTATTGAATTTTTTAATAAACATATTATTAGTAAATATAGATTTGCACCTAAGATTTATATTGCAAAGATAAAAAATAGCCAAAATATAACTTGCATGACTTATAAACTGTAACTACAAACTGAGCTTGGTCGGCAAGGATGATTGGATACAAGATTGTTGGCTTGAAACCTGCATGTGCATGAGTCACCGAGGACTGTTTCCATATTTTTGCGACAAAGTCAGTCAAACCTGCATAAATGTTCAATCTATATCCCAAAAAAACCTCAAATGGAATAACTCAGAAGCTCACTTGCAATAGATAAATCATTGACTTTGTTTGTTTGTTTTTTGTCAGTCTGCTTGCGCCGAGCAGCCCTCAGACTTGCTTCAATCTCATTGTGCTGAACAACTTAATGAAAATTTACACAATAGAGAATGCTGACGTAAGAAGATGCATATGATTCGTGTTTCGCTCTTCTAGCTATATGAATTCAAAATGCAATAGATTTTGTTTCATGATTTTATGATTTGTATTGTATGAGCCACATGAGTATTTCTACGAAATCTAATTTTTGCCACGAAATTTAATTTTTGTTTTGACAAAATTTATGAAGAAGCTTGACTTAAAACTACGGTCAGCCACACACCTTTCTTTTGCTAACTGTGCTTGGATTGCTCTCATGTTGCATAAAACTTTAGTTTAAACATTAATGTCTACCTATGCCATGAACATGGAAATGATGGTGTTGATATCTTTTGTAATATTTTGTAGAATAATCATTTTACAATTTCTATGACAGTGCTATACTGTATGCAAAACGGAAAGTTGATGGCTTGCTGGGGTCCTGATGTACCATAATGCTACTTATTCGCAAACATTGAGTGAGCCCAAACACCAAACCTACACACACAGATACACATGTGCATCACAATGACAAACTATGATGAAGCATGATTGTACAATTTGCAGAGTATCCCGAATCATGTTAAACTAAGTCAAGTCTTGTTTTATTTAGATGTAACAATTTTTTTTATGAGGATTGAAAAGTTTGACAACTATCTAAAATCTAGCTTGATGTCAATGTTGCGCAATCATATTGAAACATATATAGTCCAAATCTTGAAAAAAACTAGGTCTATGAAAACACAAATTAATGTTAGGTAACGAGCAATCTCGCCATGCTAAGAAGTACATAAGAGGCATAGCCAGTTGGTCAAAACCCCAAACTAATTGTCTTAGTGATGCACCGTGTTAATTTGGATTAATCCTTACAATCTCATATACTGATAAACATGTATATGATTTTAAATGTTTCTTTAATAATTGATTTTATTTGTCAACTCTAATTTTAAGTAGCAATAATTCTGCATCTAACCTTGATAAAATGTCAAAATTCATATATTTATACAAATAAACTCAACAAATTTTTAGAATAATTTTATGTTAATATTTAAAGATATGAAAATTTTAAATTTTAATAAACAAAAAAATTGAGTTTTTAAAATCTAATTCACTGACCACTTAATTTTGAGTTGATTTTTAACTTTTACAAATATCATAATTTGAAGCTATTATAAATTTTTTATTAATAGATATCTTTTATTAATATATGAAAATGAATATTTATTTTTTAAAATTTTAATTTTACTATTCTTTGAAATGAACTTGATAAGAATTTTTAATATAAAATATAAATTGCAGCTTAATAGTACAAATTTTGTAGAAGAGTTCAATAATATAAATAGAAAAAATATATATATCTAGCATACACTTAGAATTTCAAATATCTGTTTTTTTTTAAATTGATATCAAATTTTAAAATTTTATTCTAAGTTCTATCAAATTTAAAATAAAAATTTCTATTTTCATTACAACATA